AAATGAAAAACAAAAAAAGAAAAAAAAGGAAAAGGGAAAAAAGAGAAAAAAAGGGGAAAAAAGGGGAAAAAAAGGGGAAAAAAGGAAATTTTTTTATTTAATTAAAAAATGAAAAATAAGGAAATGTAAAGCAAGGAACAAAAAAAAAGAAAAAAAAAGGGAACAAAAGAAGAAAAAAAAGGAAATTTTTTTATTAAATGAAAAAAATAAAATAAAATAAATGAAAATGAAGAAAAGATAAAAAATTAAAAATAAAAAATAGTAAAAAATGAAAGATCGAGAGATGAACAGAACGGGATAAAACGGGGCGGCGCGCACGGGTAAACTGAGTCACGCCCCCCCCCCCAGGCGGCCTGGCTGGGCCTGAACGCGTTCCTGTTCGCGCACTTTTACCGCTTCTACGCCGAGGGCCCGCAGTTCCTGTACACGCGGAGGCTGCTCGGGGTGAGCGCGGGCGACGGGTTCGCTATCGATTGATTTACGGATTCGGTGATCGATTGGTTGGTTGATTGATTGATTGATTAATTTATCGGTTCATTGATCGGTTCGTTTGTGGATTTATTGATTCATTTATCGATTTATTTACAGATTTAGTGATTGATTGATTGATTGATTGTTTTCTTGATTGATTTTTCTTGATTTATTGATTCATTTATTGATTTGTTTATCGGTTCATTGATGGATTTATTGATTCGTTTATCGATTTTTTGATTTATTTATCGATTTATTGATCGATTTATCGATTTATCGGTTCATTGATCGATTCGTTTGTGGATTTATTGATTCATTTATCGATTTATTTACAGATTTAGTGATTGATTGATTGATTGATTGTTTTCTTGATTGATTTTTCTTGATTTATTGATTCATTTATTGATTTGTTTATCGGTTCATTGATGGATTTATTGATTCGTTTATCGATTTTTTGATTTATTTATCGATTTATTGATCGATTTATCGATTTATCGGTTCATTGATCGATTCGTTTGTGGATTTATTGATTCATTTATCGATTTATTTACAGATTTAGTGATTGATTGATTGATTGATTGTTTTCTTGATTGATTTTTCTTGATTTATTGATTCATTTATTGATTTGTTTATCGGTTCATTGATGGATTTATTGATTCGTTTATCGATTTTTTGATTTATTTATCGATTTATTGATCGATTTATCGATTTATCGGTTCATTGATCGATTCGTTTGTGGATTTATTGATTCATTTATCGATTTATTTACAGATTTAGTGATTGATTGATTGATTGATTGTTTTCTTGATTGATTTTTCTTGATTTATTGATTCATTTATTGATTTGTTTATCGGTTCATTGATGGATTTATTGATTCGTTTATCGATTTTTTGATTTATTTATCGATTTATTGATCGATTTATCGATTTATCGGTTCATTGATCGATTCGTTTGTGGATTTATTGATTCGTTTATTGATTTATTTATAGATTTAGTGATTGATTTATTGATTGATTGATTGATTGATTTTTTCTTGATTTATTGATTCATTTATTGATTTGTTTATCGGTTCATTGATGGATTTATTGATTAATTTATTGATCTGTTTATCGGTGCATTTGTGGATTTATTGATCAATTTATCGATTTATCGGTTCATTGATCGATTCGTTTGTGGATTTATTGATTCGTTTATTGGTTTATTTATAGATTTAGTGATTGATTGATTGATTGATTGATTGATTTTTTCTTGATTTATTGATTCATTTATTGATTTGTTTATCGGTTCATCGATGGATTTATTGATTCATTTATCGATTTTTTTGATTTATTTATTGATTCATTGATCGATTTTTTGATTTATTTATCGATTTATTTATCGATTTTTTGATTTATTTATCGATTTATTGATCGATTTATCGATTTATCGGTTCATTGATCGATTCGTTTGTGGATTTATGGATTCATTTATCGATTTATTTATAGATTTAGTGATTTATTGATTGATTGATTGATTGATTTTTTTCTTGATTTATTGATTGATTTATTTATCGATTCATTGATGGATTTATTGATTCATTTATCGATTTTTGATTTATTTATTGATTCATTGATCGATTTATCTATTTATCGATCGATTTATTTATCGATATATCGATCTATTTATTTACCGATTTATCGATTCGTTTATCGATTTATTCATATATTGATTCATTTATTTATCGATTCATTCATTAATTTATTGACGGATTTATTGATTCGTCCATTGATTGATTTATTGCTTTGTCTATCGATTTGTTGATGAATTTATTTATCGATTTATTTATCGATGGGTTTTCCCCCTTTCTCGGGCCCCCACAGCGATCGGGTTTCCGATCAACGACAACGTCGCATTTATTATTGATTTAAAACGAATGGAATCTATTTCCATCCCCCGCCCCCGCCCAAAAAAAAAGAAAAAAGAAAAAAAGAAAGAAAAAGAAAAATATTTAATTAATATTTATTAATTTAAGAGGCATCAGCGGCGCGGGGCGGGCGGGGTTCCGAGGGGCGGATAGGAGTTCGTGCACTGCACGGGGCCGAGAGGGCGGGGTTTTGCGGGACGGATAGGAGTTCGCTCCGTTCCGGGGGAGTTTCCCGGATGGGCGGGCGGCGGGGTCCCGGGGGTCACGCACGGGGTCACGCACGGGGTCACGCAGGGGGTCACGGGGTCACGCACGGGGTCACACACCCCCCTCCGTGTTCCAGCCCTGGCTGGCCCTGGCCCGCGCCCCCGCCGCCTGCCTGAACTTCAACTGCCTGCTGGTGCTGCTGCCGGTGTGCCGGAACCTGCTGTCGTTCCTGCGGGGCTCGGCCGCGGTGAGTGTGCGCGGGGGGGGGCGGGGCGGGGGGCGGGGCTTACACGCGCG